CGAAATGTAAAGTACTTCTCCAAGATTGGCAGGGACCCAACCCTGCGTTAACGCTTGGTGGTGATCTGCTAGAAGTCGTTCAGGAATTCAAGTACCTGGGCAGCCATATTAGCACCCGTGGGATTGAAGATGAGGTTACGAACCGTATAGCAAAAGCTCGAGGTGCTTTTGCTAATCTCCGCCACCTGTGGCGCAGACGCGACATTACTCTCGCCCTCAAGGGCAGAGTTTACAACACAGCCGTCCGTACAACTCTCCTATATGGTTGTGAAACCTGGACCATCAGGTCGACAGACATGAAGAGGCTCGTCACATTCGATCATCGCTGCCTTCGCAGCTCAGCTCATGTCTGGTAGGAACACCGCGTGAGTAATGAGCGTGTTCGGCGTCGCGTATTTGGTGCAGGAAGAGCGAGTGAAGAGCTCAGCACCATTATATCACGCACCAGGCTCAGATGGCTGGGCCACGTGCTGCGCATGCCAGCACACCGACTCCCACGACGTGCATTGTTTGCGCGTTGTGAGTGCGGTTGGAAGAGGAGGGGAGGCCAAGTGATGACTTGGTAGAGAGAAATGAAAACCCTCACTTCGAAGTTGGCGTCGGTTGCTGCATCCCGACTGCCTGGCTGGGGTCCTAAGGACGGTGAACACGTTTGGTTGGACACACTTGCTGACATGGCGAAGAGCAGGCCCCAATGGCGTTTGTGTTGTGAGTTCCTTTGTCCATCCCCCTCCTGTTTAGCATCCCCCACCAGTCACGATCTTACTTGTTAGACATAATACGACTCTCTTTTATGGCAGCCAGCTGTTAGATCTCCGGAACGATGTTATCCGTTACTGGAGACTCAGCGGACGTGCCACTGTTTGTTTTCCTTTTCTTGTCGTTTGTATTGCGGCACAATAGCTGAGGTGTTTTCCACCAGCTAACGTGTATTGATGGTGGTGATGATGATATCAAAGCATGGTAAGTAGGTCCAATAATTGGGGGGGGGGTTGATAACGGGGATAAAAGTGAAGTTGGTATGGGACGATAAGGGTGAAAAAGCGTAAGAGGTGGAATTAGAAGACGGGAAGGCTTGAGCAGTAGCACCCAACCCACTATCCACCCTGTTCGATGCAGCAGATGGGGCACCGTTGATTCTACACTGCGGTGGCCAGAGCATCAGGAAATTGTTCGAAGGAAAGATTCATAATATTGAGTGGGCAAAAAACTGTCAAGTTGCCTAGGCCTAGACAGGAGAATGATTAGGGTTCTCAACCAAACTATGGTACAAAATCCTGATAGAAAGACAGCGGGTTTGACAGTGGACTATGTCTGAGAGTGGCAAACGTACCTAACAATAAGTCACTTCTAAGGAATAAGGAGTCACCCTTACTCCCACCCCAAAATAGGAGATTGTCTGGCATCTAACCATTGACTACTCAGCACCGTTATTTCACGCATCAGGCTCCGATTGCTCGGCCATGTGTTACGCATGCCAGCCCACCGACTTCCGCGACGTGCATTGTTTGCGCGCCGGGGGTGTGGATGGAAGAAGAGGAAGGGTAGCCTAGTGATGACTTGGTCTAGAGGAACGAAGGCTCTCACTTCTGAGCTGGCCTCGGTTGGAACGTCTCGGCTCCCTGGTTGGGGTCCGAAAGACGATGAACACGTTTGGTTGGACACACTTGCTGATATGGCTAGGAGCCGACCTCAGTGGCGTTCGTGCTGTGAGTTTCCTTGTCCCACCCTATCCCTCTTAGCCTCCCCCTTCAACCACCCCCTTCAACCTTATATAATTTTGCATAGTAATTTTTTCTGGTGCACAGCAGCCGGCTGGTAGCTTACCGGAACGATGCCCATCCGTTACCGGTAGCTCAGCCAGCTTGCACCAGTTGCTTTTTTTCTCTCCTTTTTTCTATGTATTGCGGAACAGTAGCTAAGGTGTTTCCCACCTCTAGCTAACGTGTACGATGGATGAACCATTGACCAATCTGGTGTAAGTGGCTCTGAAAGCGCAAAAAAGCCCCACCCAGTATAGCTCAATGGATGGCTGAGGCACGCAAACTATCTCACCACGGTAAAGGTCCAGCCTCACTGATTCAAGAAGTAGTACAAAACGCTGTTTGTGATTTTCGCTTATGCTTCCATTGGCTGCAGTTAAATGCTGTCAACGACACATTCTATCACGAACTGAATGCGCTATTACGCAGTGCTACTAGTTCAGATATTATAGTACTTGCAGGGGATATGAACGCACAAGTAGAGCGTCTGAGCTCTTCAGAAGCTCAGCTGAGTGGTAATTGTGGGCTTAACTCCAAAAGGACTGATAACGGTGAGCATCTGCTGCAACTGTGTGCGGAGCACCAGTTGTTTCTTAGCAGCACTGCTTTTAGACACAGTGGGCGCAGAAACGCCACTTGGCGCCCTCCTGTAGCTGGCCAGCGATGGACCAAAAGTAACCATATAGCCATAAGTTACAGGTGGTGTGGTTTCATCCTGGATGACCGCTCGTACTGGAATACTTGCGTCGACTCTGATCCTGCCTTAGTACGCTCTGTCGTTTCTCCATTAACGTTACAGAGAGGCGCTTTAAACGTCACCTCCGATTGACAACTGAAAAATTGTCAGCCATCGGTCAAACAAGCCGACCAAGACGCACTGCGTACCGAACTTTTGCTCCTTTGTCCTAATGACACTGAACTTCAATGGAATAGGATTTCGGCCGCCATGCAGGACGCAAGAGCATCTGCTTGTAGCACTATCGATCGTCAGTGCACCAGTCACTGGATATCCGTGACGTCAGTGAACATGGAATCCAGAAGAAACCTCCTGCCTGTGTCTGAGCACAATGTAACCAGACGGGCTATTAGGCGCGAACTAAAGCGGAGAATGCGTGCTGACAAGGAAGCCTGGTGGACCAGTAGGGATCAAGAAATGGGAGGTAGCAGCAGTGAGCAATCAACGCAAGCTCTTCCAGCTGATCCGCACCACCGGTCCCAGGAAACCGGGCATCAGTGAGACAATCAGAGACAGCGCGGATGCACTGGTACACAATAAGGAGCGCCGTATAGTTCGTTAGGCGTAACACTTTCAATATCAGTTCAGTTGGCTCACTGCTCCCGGAACACTCCATACTCGAACACTACAGACCGCGTCAGGGTCTACGATGACGTTCGTCAAAGTCGCCCGATTTCCCCGTTTTCGTTCAATTTCGTCGTGGACCCCATCATGGAGTGTTCGCTAGCAGAATCTCACGATGTAGGCGTTGAAATCCTGTCTGTGAAGCGTTAGTTGATCTTGATTACGCGGACGATACCGTCTTGCTTTTCGACCATGTTGAACCGGCACAATCAACCCTGAATAGCCTGTCTAGAGTGACCCTTATTATTTGGTATGCACTTCGCACCTACAAAGCGCAAAATGATGCTGCAGGACCACCAGCCACACGATGACCCCTTGACCCTTGCTAAAGAGGAACCCTAGGTGATTGATCTATTCCCTTGCTTTGGCAGCTGCATAAGCAACGATGAGCGCATAGAAACTGACGTCAACTCACGCATTGCAAAAGCTAGAGCTGTCTTCTTGAACCTGCGACATCTTTGACGACAGGAGGGAGTTTCCCTCCGTCTGAAAGGCCGTGTATAAAAGGCCACAGTGAGGGCCGTTCTGCTCTATGGTAGTGAAACTTGGCCCCTTCGGTCTGAAGATCTGAGGCGCCTTCAAGTCTTTGATCATCGTTGTTTGCGAAGCATTGCTAGTGTCGGATGGCACCAGCGTGTCCGAAACGATGATTTACGTAGGCGAGTACTAGGTGGTGATAATCATGCTAGCCCCCTAGAACAACAGATAGCACTGGATAAGTTGCGTTGGCTCGGGCACGTACTACGTATGCCTGGTCACCGCTTACCTAGGAGTGCCATGTTTAGTCTGCCAGGTGTAGAGTGGCGCAAAGCTCGAGGTGGACAGAAGTTGACTTGGCAGCGGGAAATGAAGTCACTGACGACCAAACTGGGTGCCGTTGGTCCGTTTCGCCTTCCGGGCTGGAGTCCACATGACTCACCTTGTGCTTGGCTCAAGACTTTACAGGACATGTCACGCAACAGACACCGGTGGCGCGTCTGCTGCAGTCTCCTAATCGGAATGCCTGTTTAGAGTTTGTTTGGTGCTGAGTTATCTGCGGGGTAATGGCTGATTATGACGCGTGGCAGTGAAAGCCGCAAGGAAGCTGTCTCGTCGATGCCGCCTTATCTTTGCACGATAGCCAGCGGTTTGTGACGGCATGTTGTCTACACAAAGTGTAGGCGCCTTGATCCTGAATGTTTGCTTAGGTCATTAAGGTTTTCAGGTAAGTCCCCTTCTCTCCCTCTTATCATTCTTCAATTCATAGATCATCGTTGTATGGCAGCGAAGCATAAGTTCAAATGGCTGATGTACTGCTGATGATAATGAATGTATTCGGCTGCAATTTTGAGGAATATTTGGTGTAGTCCATCAGAACCTGGTGCGGGGTTCGGGTTCAGTTCGAGGAGAATTCTTATGACCATCTCGGAACTGATTTTGACTTTGTCCAGAGGGCGACGATGCTTTGGCAGATCGTCACTGAGTAACGAGGGCACTATGTAGTAAACCCAAGAATACTGCGATGCTAACAGGTGGACCTCCTCATCATCGTCGTAAAGTACAGTATCTTCCTCATGGTAGGACGAAGCAGGAATGCCACTACCCGCCTTGGTGTTTCACCTCCAGTACGAGAAAGTTGCTACGGGCAGGTTCAGGTTTGTATGACCAGACTATGTTCGCCTTGGGTCCGCTTTTGGCTTTTTAGAATTCATAGGTTTTTGCTCACTTTGTACTTCGATTGTGATGTCTACCAGAAAATTTGAGAAATGAAGAGAAAACGCTCCTCTAGAAGCAAGAATTACAAATTATAATAATCATATGCCATTTTACTTATCAGAAGAGGGCGGATACCACGAATCACTCAACAAGAAAAGAGCTAAAAATTGAAGAATACCAACTTGCTTGCAGCTATGTGGCTCAGGCTTAGCGGGGGAATGAGATACGTGATGCTCCATAGGTAAAACCGGCCCAAGTACGTTCCTATGTGTTGACAGTAGCTGAACACATCGATCGATTGCGGCGACAGTTGTGGGATTTGAACGATGTAGAAACTGATGCGATGGCTAGATGAAATCATACACTGCTTTTATGAGATTTTATAAGTTTAGAATATACGTCATCACATCACTCTCGCATGATTCTACTTCGTCAAGCAATATTCATCTGGCGTTCCCTTTCTCTTTACTTTTTTAAATGTGAGCATATCCTCCGTTCCTTTCTTTGGCTGTAGTTAAAGTGCGGATCTGGTGCTCAGCAAAGAATTTTTTCTGTTCGGTACCCATCAGACTCAACTGTCTACATGAGTGGTATTACATGCTGAAAATGTCGAATTGAGCTTAGTGTTGATTTGGTTGTTCGGATCGATAAACCACGATAGTCATCATCACAAATACACTTCAGCTAATGTGCTGCAATACAAAGAACATTAAACATTACAAACTACAAAAACTAAAATAGTAACCTCATGCTAAAATCACATTACGCATTGGGTTGAGATCATTTTTGGAAAGGGAAGCTAAGAGAGAGAAGGGACAAAGAGACTCACAACACAATCGCCATACCAACTAGTGTCTCCAACAAAACCGTTCATCGTCCTTCGGACCCCAGCCCGACAGTCGGGAAACACAAGCCGACGTCAAGTTCGAAGTGAGGGACTCCATTCTTCCAGATGAAATCATCGCTTGAAGCCATCCTCTTCTTTCATCCAGACCTCGGGCGCGCAAACAACGCACGTCGCGGGAGTCGGTGTGCTGGCATGCGCAACACTTGGCCCAGCCATCGAACTCTGATGCATGATATAATGGGGCTGAGCGATTGGCTCGCTCTTCCTGCACTAAATACGCGGCGCCGAACGCGCAGGTCGTTGAACCAGGAGTTGGCAGACTAAAACATTGATGGACCTAAAACAAAACCGTATTACACTCTGTCCAATCAATTAATGCCTACGTATCCTGTCCTAGCAGTCCCTGCTGGGCCGGTTACGTGAAGTAAGAAAGAGAAAAAGATAAACTCAAAAGGCAAAAAGAGAAAGTGGAAAGAACTAAGCAAGTCATAAAAAAGAACTGAAACGTGAAGGTGAGTCAGTTAGGAAAAAAAGTCGGGTGCTGACACCCAAGAGCATCGAGCTAGCGCGCGATACCTTTAACCGTAGGTCCCCTAACCACATGATCTGGAAGCGAATTCCAGCGATCTATAACTCTGCGCGACAGACGAGTTTCCATCCTAATCCTATCAGACCGTGGTTTATGCAGTTTGTGAGTGACGGCGGAGATTAGGTAACGTAGCGGGACTAAATAGCCCTGACAAGTCCGGGCCGATCTTACCCGTCAAAATAGGATAAATGAGAATAAGATCCCCTCTTATCCTTCGGTAGTGCATTGAGTACATCCCCAAACTGAGCAAGCGTTCACGATAAGTCTGTACCCGTAGACCCTACAACAACCGAGTGCCCACTCGTAACACCCTCTCTAAGTCCATTTTGTCTCGGTTAAGACATGGTGGACAAGCCTGGATACAATATTCCAGGTGGGGTCGGACGAATGCCGAAAATAGCTTCACAAACAACAGTCATAGCGTATAAACTTTTTACGTAGCCTAGTGCAGCTGGACCAACAAGCTTGCATGCCGCATGCAGACAGTAGAACTCTCTGAACAGTTTTCATAGGTAGCTTGTCAGGTACATTAAAAACCACGGCATTGCATGAGCAACGTACTCTATTCTGTACTTCGGTCGAAATTGAGTCAATCAGCGAGCTACATTTCGTGATAGGCATTTTACCAATATCTGAGGGCGATTCAAATAATGCAAACAGACTATGCATGGGCTGCAGCATAGATGTGAGCGTGTCAACTTTTAATGATAGCGCAGCATACGCAGTTTCAGCTACAAAGGGACATTTTTCAGGTGTCTTTTTCAGGTCAGCAAGAAATGCACAACCATCTGTCACAGCGCCTACACTCTTTCGGGTGCTTTTCCAGGTGGGGTCGGACGAATGCCGAGAATAGCTTCACAAACAAATTAGCCGTTAGGATTCCGAAAGAGCAGCGGATAAACCACATCATACGAAACCTCCGACAAGCAGCTTTCTTTCAATTGTCGTCAAAATGAAGTGCTGATGAGTGTACGACTCCTAAATCAACCAGCTGAGTGACAACAGGGAGTTCACCACCGCCGACAACATATCGGATGGGAGGATTAGCAGCTCCGATTCGGAGAACAGAGCACTTGGCCCTATTTATGAGCATCAACCATAAGGTAGACCATTCCCAGAGCGTATCCAGGGTATGCTGAAATGCCTCAAGACACCAAGTATATCCACAATATTCCAGAGCTTAAGGTCATCAGCAAACCTTAGCGCTGACAATCCCAGCTCTCCCGGCAAGTCATTTCATAGATCGCGAAAAACAATGGCCCCAATACCGAGTCCTGCGGGACACCACAAAGTAGAGTTTGCCTGAGCGAAAGGCTACGTCTCACTTGTACGCATTGTTCCCTCCCCTCAAAGAAAAAACACCCACTGAAGCGCGCGACCACATACATCACAAGATCTCAACTTCAGAGACTCGAAGATGAGGAACAGTGTCAAAAGTTGCGATATGGAGCCAAATGTTAATAACTCAGGTTGTTCCGTTGGTGGACCGAGTGTTCGCTGAGCTCGGCAGGTTGACTGCAAACGTTTCGTCACCACTCGAGGTGACATCGTCAGCGCGCGTGTAATTAGAAGAGTGGCGCGTACGAAGTGTCCGTGAGTGTGAGTGCTCGATCTCCTAGCCGCTAGTCTGAGTTTGGATTGTTCGACAAGCACATGACCATCGAAATCGATCTTTGATTCTCACCTCGTAGTGTACGCGCGCGTGACTCTTCGGTTGTCGTCGTTTGATGCACTAGTCTGGCGTTCCGTTCCGTTAGATTTATTCTACTAATTCGGTGATTTTTCATCCGCAGTGCTGTATATATAGCATCTATTTCAACGTGCCGGTTTACTGAATTGTCCGTAGAATACCATGCTTCCAAGAATTCTCTAGCTTGCCTCGAATTTCCACGGGCTAGGATCTTAACGTTCTCTAGGTCGAATTGGTGGCCTTCTTGGTCTTCCTGCATGGAAACCAGTGAATGCGGGTCGTGTCTCCGTATGGCCATACTGTGTTCGCTGATCCGTGTTGACATTTTCTTTCCAGTTTGCCCGATGTAGTGTTTGTCACACTCATTGCAGTTAATTTTGTGGATGACTTCATTCTGACTGCCTTGTTTAACTTTGTCCTTCGGTCTTGAAAGCAATCTTTGCAAAATACCAGTTGGTTTGTAGGCTATCAAGATTCTATGTGGTCGTAGTAATCTTGATGTTAGTTCAGATACATTCTTGATGTAAGGAAGCGCTACCCGTTTGTCTATGTTTTCCTGCTGTTGTTGCTGCACCCTCTTCTTTAGGCTTCTTCTGATGAAGTTTCTTGGATACCCGTTGTTTTCCAATACCTGGTATGGATGGTTCTCTTCCTTCTTCCTCAATTCTGTCGTACTGCAGTGGGTTTCGACTCTATTGAAAAGGCTTTGAATGTAATTTTCCTTGTGGTTCAGTGGATGGTTGCTGTGGTAGTTTAATATTTGGTCTGTGTGGGTCTTCTTTCGATATACACATGTCTGAAATGTTCCGTCAGTGTTTATTTGGACCAGTATATCTAAGAATGGTAACTGGTTGTCTTTTTCGAGTTCAATTATAAACCTGATATCCTGGAATGTGTTGTTGATTAACTCATGGGTATTCTGTATGGAATCTCGTTTGATGACGACAAACGTGTCGTCCACGTACCGGATACATAATTTTGCTTTGATTAACGGTATTGTGATACTCTCCACTTTTTGCATCACAGCCTCTGCAATGAGTCCTGAGATGGGCGATCCCATGGGCGTTCCTTTCAGTTGTTGGTATACTTACCCATCAAAGTAAACATAAGTAGTCATGCAGAGTTCCCATATGCTCTCCGGCTTGAGGTTTCCTATTGTGTTCACTTGGTTGCGAAGTAATTCCAGCATGGTTTCTTTTGCAAGTTCGTGATTGATCGACGTGAAGAGTGCGGTGACATCAAACGACAACATGATTTCATCTTCCTCTATTGTAACACACTTCAGTTTGTGGATGCATTGTTCAGCATTGATGATGCTTTGTTCAGAGCCGGCAATTAGATGTTTTAATGTCTTCCACATGCATTTTGCCAATTTGTACGACGGGGTTCCTGGCAATGAGACGATTGGACGTAATGGGACTCCGTCTTTGTGTACCTTTGGCAGTCCATAGAATCTTGCAATATTTGTATCCTCAGCTTTCATCTTCCATCGCTCCAGCTTGGTAATCTTATCCGTTGCTTGTAGTTTTTTCAATGCCGTGTTGATTTGAGTACTCAGTTTTGTACTGGGATCCTGATCTATGGGGCGATAGGTAGTCGTGTCGGAAAGGAGTTGTTTGGCTTTTGCAACGTAATCTGGTTTGTCCATTATTACTGCCATGCGTCCCTGGTCAGCTGATAGCATTACAATATTGCCTTCCTTTTGTAGCCTTCTAAGTGCTTCGCGTTCTTCTTTTGCAAGAGTATGTGTGCATTTGTTGCGAGTTATCGCAGGGACAACTGTTTGTCTAATTTGCTGCCCCGATTCTTCTGACAGTCCGTTTGTGTTCAGAACCTGTTCCAGATTAGCCAAGTAATCCTTATATGATGCATCTTTTGCGTTAAAGCTTAGCCCCCTTTGATTAGTATGTTCTCCGTTGTGCTGAGTTGACGACTAGACAAGTTTTTGATCCATCCTTCACTGTTGGGGTGGTCAGACTTTCTCGTAAGCTTATTCAGCTTCATATTCAGTGCTAAGTTACGCTGGCTTCTGATGTTGTTTACTCGACGTTGAATCGCGAATTCAAGCTCTGTAAGCTTTTGGGGTCCCATCGCAATAAGGCAGGCAGTTTTATTGTCCTTTATGACCTTTTCATACTTTCAAAGGCGATTATGGGCATCTGTTATCATTAATTTGACCATACGCATCCCATATTGTCTTGTTAAAGCCCAAGCCTCTGGGTGATCTAACGCCGG